GTCCTCATCACTAAGATACCTTAACGCTTTACCGATGCTAACAAATTCATTTTTTTCTAGATGTTCTGGAACAAAAGGATATTCTTATTTTATAGATATGTACCAAAGCCGATAAATAAATAAAAATAAAAAAAAGAGGGTAAAGAACATCTACCCAATTTGGATGGCAATTTGGAGGTAGGTTGAAACTATTCTTCGGCGCTCTCAGCAGCTTTAGCTCTCACTGTACTCATGTCATAGTCCTGACTAACTTCAGCGGCAACTGAAAGCTCAGTCGTCTTGCAAAATGGACCTAGAATGAATTTGGGCAATGGGCACGCGAGAAACTCATAATTTGTATTCACTTGTGAAGAGTGAGGTTAAAAGGACAGCGTTGGCATCATATAAAAACTAGGACCTGAAAGCAGGGAGAGACTGAAGACTTTGACAGCCAAACTGAACTTCATTGCCAGACCAAGCACTCCACCTACCTCCCCTTTTGCTCCACATACTGACCCAGCTGCAGCTCCTGCAGCAACTGATGCTGCAAGCTTCACACACTGTCAAACGTGATTTCTTCTGAGTGCTTAACTTTTCAGCCTCAGTAGATTATTTGATATTTTGCTTTTGTTTGGTAACAGTGATGGGTCATTTCCTGAACTACGCTGAAGTTGTTCATGCCTTTTCGCCCTACGGGTGCAGAGTGAGGCCTCTGTTCTGCATAGCGTAATAAGCCAGCCAGGCATGCGTGGGCTGGGCAGGGGGTACGAGGCCTCCTCCGCATCCCGGTTAGGGCCTGCAGTGTTGAGTGCGCATTCACAGTGAAAAGGCTTGGGAAACACTGGACAGCTCTGCCACTGCACTGCCACTGCATTCAGACCAGAGTATGTCCGCTCTCGCTGTGTGCTTTGAAATGCAGTCATGAAGAATCTTAAGTACTCTTATCTAATGAACAGCATGTAAATTGAACTAATGCTATCTCACTTGTGAATGAATATCCATGCAAAGGTTAAATGCAGTTTAAATGACAAATCCCCTTTACCCCCTAACCCTTCTAACTTTACATCTTTAGCTGGTTCATCTTATCCTTCCTGAGCAGCTCTGAATAATCAAATCCTATGCTCAGTATAATCACAGCTTGCTTTGGAGGAACAGCTGTTACACATCTATTTTCTCCAAAAACAGTCAACCTGTAGCAGCTGAACAGGCAAATGTGGTAACATTTTGCAATTTGGCACTCCTGTGCCCAAGAAGAATATAAGGGCTGATGTGTACTTCACTAAATTGTAGCAAAGCAGTGAAACATATAACTGTTTCAAAGTGCATCTTTTGGATCCCCATATGAGTGGGAGAAGACACATTCCTTACATATTCAAAAAATTCAGCAATGATATATACATGTTTACACAAGTGAACCTCACAGGACAGGCTGCAATACATGCTTCCTTAGGTAGCTGAGATCACAGCTGAGCTTTGAGCTATAAACATTTATTTACTCGGTAGCAGAGAGCAGAAAGCATGTGGCACGACTATTCTTTGAAGCCTGAATATATCCAGAGAGACTACGAAGTATAAACTTATCTAAATGTTTAGAAATCACACAGCAGAATTATTGTGTGCTTAAAATATCTCAGAGCAAGGCACCCGTGGCAGTACTGGTGTGAGCAGCTGTGATGATAAAATGTTTTATACTTTATCATTTCCTTGTTAATGTGATTTAGAGTGAGTGGGTCACGGCCAGCCAGAGACTGGACTAATGAATCCATCAGGGAAGCTGAGACAAGAGAGGAATAGAAAATGGAAAGTGCAGGTTGAGCATCAGAATCAGATTTTTATGATATTCTGGTTTAATGGAGATATATTTAACAGTGAAACAAACTCAGTGACTTCCACGTAAGGAATTTTATCAAGTTTGGAAGTAAGCTAATTCAGCAGGCATTCATACATAATGAAACAGGATGAATCACAAAAGATTAAGTTGTCTTTAGGTTATAATAGGTGTTTCTGTTCCTGTAGGCAGGATAGATGTCTTGGAATCAGTTCAGACTGTGACATGCAGGCTCCTTCTTACAGCAATAAAGTGGTATATGGATAAATGTGAGGCGATGATGAAAAACCTAATATTCAGCATTTTAATACACTAACTGGACAACAATTTTTTTATAATCTGACATGTAAATAATAGCTGTAAGAATAAAATAGAATTGAATTTGGGAACTCAGTGTTAAGGCAAAGCCCAGTTTTGGCTGGTAAGGTCCAGCACTGGCCCTGCGAAGGACAGGAAAGTCCTCAACTGTTTGAAATCTGGGCTGCCGGCAAACTCCCTGTGCCTGTAACACGAGTTATGAGAGCTGGCACCCGCAGGCGCGGCGTCTGCCCGAACAGGTAGCACAAGCAAAGGCCAGCCCAGGCGTAGCTGGCGACACCGGAGTCTCTACCAGGAAACCTGAAGACAGGATGGTACCGGGCACGGCCTCGCCCTGTTACCTGCCCGCCGAAACCCTCACCCCCCTGCGTGTGGGGTGCTGCGTGTCTGTGTGTGCGTGTATACATGCATACACACGCACACACACACACACACACATATATTGCACTCCAGTAACCATCTGGCAGGTGTTCCCTGTTTTCGCCGTCCAGCTTCCAGCACCTTAATTGCCCGTTATTTCCACTGTCAACAACCTCCTGCCAACCCGCGCCTGCTCCCTGCGCGGCGCGCTCCCGTTTCACAGGAAACTACCTACTATTGCCACGGCCCTGCCCCTGGGAACGGGGCTGCCTCGGGCTCACGCCTGCTGCGCTCCCCTCCCGCAACGCGAGCCCTCGCCGCGCCGCCGCAGGAGCGCGGACCGCAGACGGCTGGTGGCA